AAAGATCCTGATGTTGGGAAAGACTGAAGGCAAAAGGAGAAGGCAGAGGACGAGATGGATAATGTCCTGGAAGGAACTAACATGAGCTTAGACAGAAGTCAGGACATAGTAGAGGACAGAAGGGCTTGAACAACAATAATAACTCAAAATACTTAGCCTCATGACAAGATTCACAGAGTTTTCTATTATTTAAGTCAGGCTGGCTCATATACTTTAAAATGCATTTGCTTAGTGTTTACAATGTATTGAAAACCCCCTGGAGTAGTAAGTTGATTAGATTTTTCCAAATTATATAATATTTCAGAATTCTAAATTCCCTATTGAGGGAAGGGCAGAGGAGCTGTTTTTTCAGCAACAAAAAAACCTTTACACTGCTGTTCATGTTTGTGCTCTAAGTATAACTTGGAATTCACTGAAATATACATGGAATGTAAATTGGCTTGACATTAAAAATGGTTTTAGAAATCGTAGTTATAAGAAGGAACTCCCCTACAGTGTCAGAGAATCACAGATTCTGGGAGTTGGAAAGGAACTTGCTGGCTATCTAAGGCCCACAAAAGGAATTCCCACACTAACACAAAGGACAACTGATCCTCCAGGCTCTACCTGAAGATGTCCAAGGGCAGGACACCCCAACACATGCCTCAACGCTTATTTCAATTCTTTCTAGCTCTATATTGCTGACATCCAGATGCCCCTCAACAACTTCTCAACGTTGCTCTCGAGACTTCTCTGTGGGAACAAACAGAACAAGTCTAGTCCCTTCCCCACAGGGAAGACAATCAAATACTGGAAGCCATTTATCAGGGATGCTGCCCCCCCACCCCAAGTCTTCTCTTTTCCGGGCTGAGCATCCCCAGCTCCTCTGACCATCTTCATTGGGCATGGATTCAAGGCCCATGTTATAAGAGGAGTGAATTGTACCACAAATATTTTTACATGAAATTTCAGGACAAATTTCACGTCACAAGGAACCAGATGTTAAATTTTGCACTTTCGTTGTTCATACCTTACAAAAAACAATCAAGTCACTAAGAAATTCAATATATCAATGTCTGCCAAATCAGACTCCTTTATAACATACCTAGGAAAGATACACAATACTGGATAGGCACCAAACAATTTAGAGGGTAGATAGCTCAGCAGCTTACGCATGCATTGTTAGGGTTCAAGGAGTGGTACTAACAAATTTCTCCCTAATATTTCTCAGACCCTCCCCCTCCTACCATACACTGTTCCACTTACAGCTAGTTACTACTTCAGATGACATGTAGGACCTCTCCTTTTCTGGGGGGGGGTAAGAAGAAAGGGAGAAGACTGGATTATATGCAGATTGTATCCCAGATTTCACTGCCTGTCTAGGGGAAGAGGAATGGGCAAACATTTATTAAGCTCCTACTATGTGCCAGGTACTGTACTAAGTGCTTTACAAATCACAATAATCCTATAAGGGAGGTGCCAGTATTACCTCCTCCTACTACCACCTCCATTTTATAGCAGAGGAAACTAAGGCAAACAGGTTAAATGACTAGCCCAGGGTCAAAGAGCTAGTTCAGTGTCTGGGAATTCTAGGTAAGGTTAACTTTCTTTTATCAATGCAGATTGACAACTCTTCTGCTATTCTCGAGTCTTAGAAAGCTGCCTGGGGCACAAAGGTCAAGAGACAGAACCAGTCCATATAGATAAGTTAGACCTTGAACCCAGGTTCAAGTTCAACTCAGAAGTTGAGTTTCTATCCTATTTCCCCGTATCTACCTCCAAGTGAAAGGTTAGAGATAAGTTATATGGGAAAATGTTATTTTACAAACTCTAACATTCTTAATGTCCTGGGTAAAAGCCTAAGATGTTCAGTGAATCTATAACTATGAAGACAATTTTTCCACATGAAAGCACAAGTCTTGACTATAAAGAAATTAAGAAAAGAAACATCTTACACCATGAACAGTGGAATAGTGTTGCTATTTAAAGTACTAACCTAGTAGTACTTATACTCACAAGACACAACAGAACACAGAATATCTACTATATTCACAGGAAGGTGTGTTGTGAGTGCCCAGTTATATCTCTTGTGGGGATGAGGGGGGAAGACATAAATTCTTTATTGTATTAAAAAAAAAAGTTGCACACGTTAAACTACTCCTTTCCCCCTTCCCCCTCCCCCATCTATTTGTAGAAAGAGATGTATTATGGCTAAAAGTGAACTACAAGGGTACAAGGAAGAGAAGGTTGTCTGTCTAGAAGAATTCAAAGGTCACTGAAAAATCCAACCATCAATGAAAGGCTATTGGATTAGGCAGCAGAATAGCTCCAGAGGTCAAAGCAGGAAGACACGTAGAAAAGACTGACAAATAACTGTAATTCCCCTCAATGCTGAGATCCTAAAGTTTCAGCCTTGGTTGTTTTAACATCTGCAGAGCTCTCAGTTCTGCAAGAGGAGTGTCATTTTTAGGAGTCAGTCTAGACCCAATGACAGGCGACTGTGACAGAACTCTCAGGAGTCTTTTTTCCAGGACAACACACCCCAGGGCTTAGGTGGGATTGCCAGAACCTGCATTCCCTTGGCATGGCTTTCTAGAACCCAGGAAAACCTCTTCCTGACACCTTCAAAATGCACATGCATTTAATAACATCTCCCTACAGCACACATATGGTACTGATAAAAAATTCAGTGGAGCCTCAACAGTGCCTCAACAAACAGAATCAGACCAATTGCTACATCATTTAGGGCCTTCCCTGAGTTAGGAAACAGACCACATGGTCAGCAGGCTCTAAAGTGGGAAAAAACCATTTTTTTGAGCTGGCTCTCAAGGTGAGCTCCCCCCCAACCCCTTGCCTCTGTGCAATTCCCACACTCTGTTCCTATTCTTGCCTACTGAGTCCAAACACACACCCTGAAACCCAGAAGACAGCCACTATGTCCCCCCTAAATCTTCTCTAGGCTAAAAAATTCTCAGTCCCTTGAATCAATCCTCATACAGCATGAATTCTGGTTGCCCTCTTTGTGACCCTTTCTAGCTTATCGACATCCTTCCTAAACTGGGGAGAGCAGGCCTTCACACAACACTCCATGGGGATCCCATCAGGGGAGTAAACAAGGCATATCTCACCACCCTCCTCTTTCCAGGTACCATCTCCTCTCCCCCCTCCCAGACAGGATCCCAGCCTTGTCTAGACTACTGGCCTTTGTCTCCAGATTCTCCCTTCTCCAGTCCAACCTTTATGCAGCTGTCAAACTATGTATTATTTTTAAACTAGAGGGAGAACCATCACTTCCCAATGCAAAAAGCTTCAATGGCTCCTTATGGTTTCTAGGATGAAATACTAATTGGCATTTAAAGTCCTTCACTAACCTTTCTAGGATTATTAAAGCAATTACAAACAATATATTGCAGTCAACCTGGCCTTCTTCAGGTCCCCTACACTCAATATTCTACCTCCAGTTATGCCAGGAATGGACTGGCACCCCACCCCCACCCCAATTCCCCTGCTATAGAATCTGTAGCTCCCAGCTACAGCTCCCCTCCAGCTTCTTTATCTTTGGGGCCTAAAGAAATGAGTGATTTTTAATCTCAAGTCTGTTTGAACAAGTTATAATTCTGTAAGAAGTTAATGAAGGTATATTCTATGTGTTTTTCGGCTTCAACTGGCTTCCCTAAAGTTCTTTCTATGGTGATCCCAAGGAGCTTCCTAGAAGACTCAAGCTTTGCAGAGCATTAAGGGAAGATGGAGCATTGACGACAGGAAAGCACGAGGTCAAATCCTGCACCTGGCACCTGTGTGACCTCAGGTAAGTCACTAACCTTTCCGTGAGCTCTGTTATCCAATGGAAGGGATGGGCCAGATTGCTTGGAAGGTTCCCACGAGCCCTCCAAGTCATATCCTGTGGACTGACTATTCCCAACCAGGGTGTTGAACTGAACCCCTTCAGCGCCTAGATCAATTCCCAAGAAGATGGCAGTCTCAAACCTGCGCCAGGCCCTCGACGACTTCTCACAGATACCAGGGTAAACCCTCTTTATGGCCCTCGTTTGCCCACAGTCTCCCCTACAGCGGGAGCATCCGGACCGCAGTTTCTGCCTTCCTTCGTCTCCCCAGGGCTTACTGCAGCCCTAACTAAATACCTGATGACTGACCTTTCTGTGCCTCAGTTTCCTTCCTTGAAAATGAAGAGACTGGACTGAATGGCCTCCAAGGTCCCTTCCTGGTCTAAATCGATGAAGCCCAAAAGAAAGAAAAGCAAGAGTTTCTTTCCCATGTTTGGTTTCAGAGCCGAAGAGCACCGCTTCCAACTTACGAAGACACTCTCCAAGCCTAAGCTTTCCCAAGGAAGCAGTAGAGACTTTACTCCCTTCCCCGGGAGGTGTTTTCTTGGGAGGGGTTCGGGGGCAGACCCTCTGCAGCAGGGACCCTTCAACTCGGGCGGGGCAGTCACGGACCCCCGGCTCCGCTCGGTGGCTTCCTCTGGGCAAATCGCTCAGCCGCCCCGTGCCTCAGTTTCCCCACCTGTCAAAGGAGGCCCCGGAGTCTGCTCGTACCCCTCGATGAAGCCCCTCACCACCGGCCCCAGGGAACGCGACCCCCGCCCCACGCACCGGGTGGGGGCGAGCAGGGGGCAAACCTAAAGCGCCGCATAAATGCGGCCGGGGCTGCCGGCTGTTTGTCAAGGCACACGGGAAGGTCCAACTGAAAGGCGGCTGTCAATCACCATCTGGAGAAGCCGAGACCCGGACTCCGGGGAGGGGAGGGCAGACCCCCGCCCCGGGCCCTCCCCTTGGCCGGGGATGGGGGGGGCGGGGCAGGATTTCCACTCCGAAGAATGGAAGGCTTTCCCGGCCGGGAAGGATGAGGGGAGCTCTCCGGCTGGCTCTGCTTTCAAGGCTTCGCCGCCGCCGCCTCCGAGCAGCCCTCGGCCCTGGCCCGTCAGTGGGCTCGAAGGCAGGGGGTTCCCCGTCCGCCCGGCCGCCCCGGCCCGCCCCTCCCCCGGCCCGGCCCCCGCTCACCGCCTCGTCGGCGCTTTCGGTTTCCCCGACGTGCGGAACGAACCGAGAACACCCCGGGTCAGCGGGGTCACGGCGGGCTTCCGGCCTCCGCGGGGCCGCGCCGGCTCGGGCCAGGCCTCGGGCTCCCCGCGCCCATGCCGCCCGGGCCCCTCCCCTGGCCTCCGGCGGCCGGGCCCCTGCCCGCGGGGTCTGGGACGGCGGACGCGGAGGGGGAGAGGGAGGGCCGCCGCCGGCGCGGCCCCGTGGTGCGCGCCCCCGAGCCGAGCACGAGCGCTCACGAGCGCGCCCAAGAGCCCAAGCTCGGAGCGTCCGCTCGGTCCGCGCGGCCACGCGACGGAGCCGGAAGTGCCGGCCTGGCCTGGGAGCGCGAGACCCGCGAGGGGGCGGGGCGCCCGGCGGCGGACTACGAGTCCCGTGAGCCTCCGCGACGGGGGCGGGGCGAGCGGCGCCGAAGAAGGCGTGACCGAAGCGACGCCCAGGAGGCGGGCGCCCGAGCGTCGCTCACTCCAGTCAGTCAGTCGGTCGGTCGGTCAGTCAGTCAGTGAGGGAGGGCGGTGGCGGCGGCGGCGACGGAGGAGGAGGAGTCATAGAGTGGGGTAAGCGCCGCGGCCGCGGGGGCGGAGCGAGGGGATCTCTGCTTCTCCCCAAGAAAAATGAGGGGCTCCCGTGTTCTGGTCGGTTCGGTGAAGCACAGGGACCCAAAGGCCTCAAATCAGGCGCCCCTCCCCCCACATGAGAATGCAAGCTCCCTGAGGGCAGGCGCTCCGCCTCCCTAGTAAAAGCTGACTGACAGGAGAAATCAGTTCTATTGGAATACTCATCCAGGTATTAAAAGACAAATCGAGGGCCTTAGGTCCGTCCATCTCTAGATGGGGGACCCTTCCCCCCCCCCAAGTCCTGTAAGGACCCGCACGGGCAAGCCAGACCGGAAAACAGTTTGTCCACCCGAGAGTGTGGCCCAGGCCATCAGCAGGCGTTGCACAGGCGTGAATTTAAGTTGTGAAAGTGACACATGATTATAAGTTCATAACACAATTATAATGCTGTAATTATATTTTATATAAAAGTACGCAACCATGTAATATGCAATACAATAAGTACGTTTCGTATATAATTGTATATAAATATATGTGACTATATAGTCCATATATTTTAATATATGAGATAATTGTATAAATATATATAACTACTGTATCACATTTGGTGTATATATACATATATTTCTCTCACATAGGATGAGGTCCTATAAAACAAAGAAAAAGATGCTTAAATTGTTACAAAGGAAAGAATGTGTCTTTTAACGTAGCCATTCACACTGGACCCAGGAAACAGTATCTGTTAAGCCCCTACTACCAGCTTTATTAGATAGAAAATAGAGAAAGGGATGAGTTCCCGGAACCATTTGAAGTCATATAAGTTTTCTTTTGTCATCGTAAAGGAGACGTTCAGTGTGTTTCGTAGTGTCCAAGAGACATCTGGCAGACAAGTAAAAGAAATATAATTACAGCAAGTATAGGACAAAGTAGAGTCAATTATGTTCTCCCCCAAATTCACTTTCAACATCTGGAACATTTGTTGTCTTTCCGTGGTGTCTGACCCTGCATGACCCCATTTGAGGTTTTCTTGGCAAAGATACTGGAGTGATTTGCCATTTCCTTCTCAGTGGATCCTTTGGGTCCGTTTTGTCAAGCAATCTGAGGTTAAGTGACTTGTCCAGGGTCACACAGCTGGGAAGTGTCTGAGGCAGGATCTAAACTCAGTCATGACTCCAGGCCTAGTACTCTTGTCTACTGAGCCACCTGCTGCATTGGTCTGGAGCCTAGTAGGTGCTTTATGAATGATTGTTGATTTGACTTCCTGATATCTAGCCTCTTTGGCCTCTTGGCAGCTTGCTTCCTCCCCACTCTCCTCCCTCACCCCCCACTGTTTCCACTTCTGCCCTCTGGGTCCAACTCCTTCCTTCATTAGAGAGCTAGCATGGCACCCCCTCAGAAACCTTCTCTAGGCTCAACATCCCCTCTTACATGGATCAGACTTCTTGTATTAACCATATACTATACCATCTTGGCTGCCCTCTGGATGTTCTCCAGCTTTTCAATGCCTCCCTTGTTTCCTCCTCCTTCCCTTCTCCCTCCCCCCTTTAAGGTTTTCTTGCTTTTATTGGTTGTTTAGTAAAAGAAACATTAAAATACCTTTGTTGCATGAGTTTAACATTCTAGAACTAGAATTTAAAAGATTTTTCTTTTCTCTTGTAGTAACCTTCCCCCTCCCATCAAAATATTCTATCTTGATTATGTAGAGCCAATAACGCTTGCAAACTTAGAGCTGCCCCTGCAGGGGAACCCAAAAGGAAACACTCCTCTGTTCTTCCGGGCATTTTTTATTGCCTGGAATCTTCCATTGCCCGTTATGTGTGTTAGGGAGAGCTCCAAATGGGGTTTGAAAGGAGAGCTTACCTTTCTAGCTAAGAAAGCACAAGTTGGGTGGAAATAATGGTACAATAATTAAGATGTGCCTTAAGCAAGAAAAGGGAAGCAAAAGCATCATCTACCCTTGCAAAATTCTGGCTAAACTATCAATGTCCATTCTCCCACTTTGGGATACCTGTAGCTGTTCAAAATTTTTTTTTTCCTCTGTGTGGAGCTATAAGCTTTATGATTTCACCTTTCAGAATCTTCCTACCTAAAATTGCCACAGAGCCAACGATCAAATATACCTACCCCACTAAATAACCCTCAAAGATTGCTTGGTGAGACTGCAAATTCATAGAACAAGGTGGGTGAAAATTACTAATTTATTAAATTATTAAAAATCAGAATTTTAAGATTTTTAATGAGAATGTTTAAAGTAAATAAACTGTATACAGGAGGCCATGGGGGTGGCCCAAGGTTCTCACAGCCTCTTCTTAGTTCCAATCTAGGAAAGTGACAAGACAAGTTGGTGTATCTGTTGTCACAAAATCAGCTTTCATAGAGAAGTCTCAGTCTTTGTTGGGAGAGGGAGTGTATACACAAATGACATCTCAAACATTAAAAGTCTAAAAGAAAATGACACAGTTAGAAGGTAGAAAGCTGGTAAGCAGACCAGTTCCTTCACCAAGGCAAGTGTGAGGTTGACTCCTAATGGAATAAAGACAAAAGCAGAGAAAGAAAACTATAGAGCAATATCATTAATGACTGTTGACTCAAGGATAATAAGTAGAATCCATTAAAAATATATCCATCATGACCAAGGATTTATAAATGGAATTCAAGTGTGGTTTAATATCAGGACAATAATAAGAATAAATCTTAATGAGAATAAAACTAACAAGCATTTTATCATGTTAGATGCAGAGAAAACCTTTAATGAAACACAATACTTGTTTGTTCTTAAAACATCAAACAATGTAGGAATAGAAGTTTCCTTCCATTATTTGAGGTATTTTGAATGACAAGTGAACATTACAATATAATAGAGAAACACCAGAAGCATTCCCATTAAAAACAAGTCTTATAAAGGGATATCTAGAGTAGAATAATATTTTTAAAAATCTTTTTTGGAAGAGATCTGTCATCTTTAGTATAGAGAGCTAGTGAAGGAGGCTTTTCCAGAAAGCTACCTGGGTCACTAAGAAGTTAATTAGTCTGCCTGGTGGGGGTCTCACAACCAAGATGTGCTAAAAGCTGGACTTAGGTCACGGCCTACAATCCACTTCACTATGCTACTTTTCAGTAATACTGATAAAGCATAAAATGGGGCAGCTTGGTGGCGCAGTGGATAGAGCTTTGGCCTTGGAGTCAGGAGAAACAAATCTGGCCTCAGGTCAAACACTTGACACTTACTAGCTGTGTCTGCATGACCCCGGGCAAGTCACTGAACCCCAATTGCCTAGGGGGGGAAAAAAGGAGTATTAGCAATAAAGAGGTTAAAATATATGCACACACACATATAGCCTACATATTTTATATAATTTTACTTGATATTATGGCCAGAAAACATAAGGTATCAAAAATAGAGGTTATAAATGATTTAGGTCAAGTAGTCATATATACACTCCCATAAATCATCTATATTTCTATATGATACCACCTATAATTAAGAGAAATGACAATGTATGAAATATTTGGAAATTAATAAGACATGTAAACAATCAAAACTCATTTACTGAATACCTGCTGTGTGCTAGGTGCGAGGAACAAAGACAAAAACAAATCAATCCTTACCTCCAAGGAGCTTATAGTCTATTGGAAGAAACAATATGTACATATAAAAATTATAAACAATACATATATACAAATATATAACATATAAATATATAAACAATATGTACATATAAAAATTATATTTAAAGTAAATACAAGGTAATTTTATGTCATGGCAAGGAGGAGTTAGTAGCCGGAGGGAATCAGAAAAGGCCTCCTGTGGGAGGGAGCATTCGTGCTGACCTTTAGAAGGTTGAGCTTGGAGGGAGAGCATTCTTAGCATGGGGACAATTTGTTCAGAGGCACAGAGATGGAATTGTTATGTATGGGTGTAGTAGGAGAAATCCTGTTAGAATTTGCATGGAGCTAGTCTGCACTCAGTACTGGACATTGCATGATGTCAGTAAAGGACATTTGGATAATAAAGCTATCCTCTTATTTGTTCCCATGTTCCTTCCCCTTCCATGTTCCCTACTCGGGCGTTCTGTATCTAGAAGTATTGTCCATTGAACCTACTTGGATCTTAGAAAGAGTGACTGTCATCTAGGGCTCCCTCTCCTTTACTGCTCATTCTGAGTATTTTCAGGGGAGGAAGGAACTTAGAGCATGTATTTGTTTAGGTGAGCCTACTTCCGACCTTTGGCTTCCTCTTCCTCAGCGTGGGTGCCCAGACATCAATCCTAGACACTTCCAGCCTGGGAGGCAACCTTGAAAATTCCAGAGGTAATGGAGTTTCTAGGTTGACCCTCAGTCTATGACTACTGCACTGTGGGAGGTGCTCACTCTAAGTTCTATACCTCCAGGAGGATGACCCAAGACCTTACCTGGCTTTCCAAAAGGTAGAAACCTTGAAGAAGTTGTTCAGATATTTTAGCATCATTTGAAATTGAGATGGCCTTGTGCTCTGATCAATAAATCAATCAACAAACATTTATTAGGCATCTCACTATCTTCCAGGCACTGTGCTAACTGCTGCAGACACAGAAAGATGTAAAACACAGTCATTGCCCTTGAGAAGCTTACAATCTAAATGAAGAATTTTAAAATATCAACTTCCCGGGAGTGTTAGGTCTCTAGGTCATTTTAAGTCTTTACAATTTATACTTTTGAGTCTTTTGTGTTTGGGGGGTGGGGAGAGGGCATAGAAAGGCTGAAATAATAGCTGCCCAGTTTTCAGGTGTACATCATACATTCAATACCTTAATACATGCTTTTGGGGAGACCCTAGATTTGATTTCTACCTAAGTCTTAAGGTTTTTTTCTGGGTCTCCAGGGCAAGGGTATACAAGAAAAGGAGCCTGACTCCTGTCTTTGGAGACTAGGTTTCCCCATGACTGACTTTAGTTTCAGTGAGAACTGAGAGGTCCTTTAGGTGGGAAAGGACATCTCTAATTCCCCCAGCCTAATTCTAATTTGTAATTACCTGAACTCGACTCTATAGTGCATGAAGGAAAGTAATGCTTAATAATCCTGGAAAAGGAGAGTAGAGCCAGATTGTGAAGGACCATAAGTGCCAGACATTGGAGTTTATATTTCATTATAGAAGCAATGTAGCAATATAGAAGCCCTGGAATTTTTTGAGCAGGGGAATGACATGCTATATGTTAGAAATATTACTTTGACAGCTGTGTGGAAGACAAAGTGGAAAAGGGAGAGAATTGAAGTTGGGAGATTTATACAAGAAACCTTTACAAAAACAACTTCAGAATGATTTTGACTGAAACTGAGGAAGAACCAAATAAATAAATGGTGGGATATTTTCTACTCATGATTAGGTTTAAAAAGTATAGCAAAATTTGCAATATTTCTCATACTAAGTGCAATGCCAAAAGGTTATTTCATAAAATTAGATAAAATCAGATAAAATCATAAAATTCACATGGAAAAACAAGTGGGCTAAAATATCAAAAGAAGAAAAAGAAAACTAGCGAGGAGGAGCTGGCACTATCACATAACAGAATGTACGCTAGAGCAATTGTTTAAAAAACTGCCTGGTGCTGGAAAAAAAGAAGACAGAAATAGGTAAATGGGATAGAATAAGACTGAAGTGTCAGACATGCAGCTGCAGCATTCCTTAGGGAGGAACCAGATTAAAATGCAACTGGGAAATATTTAACAAAATAAAATCTAAAAACATAGATAGTAGTAATAACAGTTTCCTAAGTTAATATGCAGCCCTCACAGAGCCTTATGTATAGTTCAGTGGTTCCCATTTCTATATGAATTTAATATCACTGGAATAAAGGACTCAGAAAAAGAATCCAGTGAATATAGAAGATTAGTTTGATAAACCCACACTAAAAAACCATGAAGGAATAGACTAATTAAAAACAGAATTACAGAATTTTAGACTTGGAAAGGCCCATGGAAGCATCTAGTCCAACCCATGCCACTGTAATATACCCAACAAGAGCTTGCTTCTGCTTGAAGAGCTTCACTGAGAGGAAATCTGCCCACAAGCACTGACTCTTCTTTGGCACAGCTCACATTAGGAAATTTTTCCTGACATCAACCTAAATTTGCTTCTTTGTACCTCTACTCATTTCACTTATTTCTGGCCTGGGTTTGGGGGAGATTGGGGAGCAAAACAAGGGAAGTCTAATCCTTCTTCCACATGATAGCCTTCAAATATTTCAAGACAGCTGTTGTGTTCTCTATGAATCTTCATTTCCAGGCTAAACATACACAATTCCTTCAAACATGAAAGGGACTTGAGGCCATTCACCCACCGGTTTGTCTTCTGGGCATGCTCCAGCTTATCAATGTCATTCTTAAACTGAAGGCCAAGAACTGACCACAATACTTCAGAAATGGTCTGTACAGAGCAGGATACTGTGGAATTATCATCTCATTTCTGGAAACAATGTCTACAAGGCAGCTAGTATCACATTAGTTTTTTGTTTGTTTGTTTGTTTTTGACTTCTTTTCTGGGCCAGGATGAACAAAGGGCCAGTTCAGTATACTTGGTTTCAACTCCATGAAACAAGATGCCCTTCTCAGGATAATCATCATTTTTAACCTCCTCACCGTGCTTCTGGCTCAGTCTTGGATATTCAGCACCTTCAGACCTTCCACAGGCTCTTCTACTCTCTGATTGGAGGACTGGAGAGTGTTGCCCTAAACTCCACCCAAAGCCTTTCTTTATAGGCCAGGAATTGAACACTCAGCTCAGTCCATTTTCTGTCCATGGAACAAGATTCCCCCAATGCCAAAGGTACCCCCTGGTGTCCCTCCTACCTCCACCTTCCTTTTGTGTACTATTTTCCCACATTAGATTGTAAGCTGCTTGACAGCAGGGACTGTCTTTTTCTCATTTGTATCCTCACCACTTAGCACAGTGCCTGGCACATAGTGGGTGCTTAATAAATATTTGTTGAATTGAATTGAAAATGCAATGAGGCACCCAGAAATCATAAAATGCAAAAAACAAGAGCAAATTAAAAGAAAAAAACACTTTACTAATCACAAGAAATTGAAAGAAAACAAATCCTAGTTTAAAAAGATGCAAAAGGATACTTTCTTGGACCATGACAACTGGCCACACCAGGTGAGGAAAGCATTCCCAGCACTCAAGAAGCACTCTGACAAAAC